CATGGATGACAGATAAAATATTGCAGATGATGGAAGAGCGAAGAAAATTAAAATGTAGAAATGACAACGAATATGCTCTCTTGCTGCAACAATGTTCTCAACAAAATAAAGAACAAAGAGAAACTCAGCAGTGAAACCAAAACCCTAATGAAACAGACAACAAAATATAAAAGAGGATACAACCACAAGAAAATACACAAAGCAATCAAAAAAGATTTAAGTCAATATAATAACGAAAAAGTACTACCAATAATACCAAAACCTGTTAGAGATAGATTAAATTACCAACTAGAGCACCTTCAGAGAAGCAGGTTGTAAACAGACTAGAGGAAGAAGTAAATAAAAAACTAGAGAATTCAGTCAAACAGGATACAGATGAAGAATGGCAGACCATACAGACAGCCATGTTGGAAGCAGCGGAACAGTGTATAGAAAAAGAGCACATAAAAAGACGGCAAGACTGGTTCGATGAAAAATGTGGGTAATGGTTTTGGCAAGAAGAAACAGGGCAAAACTACATAAGATGAAGAAAATACCCAAAATGCGATCGAAAACTATGTGGCAAGAAGAAGGGAAGTGAAAAATAATTTGTAGAATAAAAGAAAGGAGAACAGTTAGAAAAGCAATTGAAAAACATAAAAGCCTACATAAACAAAAAGGTAAATAATTTCTACCAAGAAATTAAGAAAACCAGAGAAACTACAAAGAATAATCCACATCCACAGTATTACTTGTATTATAATTAAGAATAAGAAGACTTACTTCTAGGTGAAACAACGAAAAATTAAACAGATGGGCGGAGTATTTCGAAGACCTATTAAATACAGACCAAGAAAAGGAACTTGAATTGACAAGAAAGGACGTGCGAAGAAATGAGGTCAAAGAAATAATAAGAAACCTAAAAAATAACAAAAGTGCAGAAGAAAGTGTTATCCCAGCTGAGATTTTAAGGAAGGTAGCCGAAGATTGAAGGAAAGGATATTTCACTTGACACTAATAATTTGGCAAACGCAAGACATGCCGAAACAACGGAATAGTGCTCTTATTCGTCCTATCTATATATGTATAGCACTATTAGAAGTAGTCTATAAAATACTTGCAAAATTTATTTGGAAAAGGTTAATAAAATATGATAACAAAGTGATTGAGGATACCAGGGAGGTTTTAGATCAGGAAAAACAACTACCGAACAAATAAGTCTGTTATTTAGTGAAGTTTGTAATAAGAGAAATTAGAAAGAGACAGCAAGGGACCGAAAAAAACTGGAGGAAAATAACCAAGTTTTTAGAAGCTTTAGAAACTAGGGGCCTCCAAAGCTGTAGCAAGGCCTACAAGGTCTGCAAGACAGAAATGAAGATAAAAAAGGCAACTAAAAAAAGCATATTCAATCAAGATTCTGAACTAATGCCAGACATAACGCTTAGTGAAATCAGACAAGCAATGGATGAATAAATCATCAGGAGATGATGGACTATGACTACAATGGTAAAACTCCACAAAACAATAATAAGCCCAATCCTAACATGTGGTTCACAGACCTGGACTCTAACAAAAAGTAATGAAAAAATGTTAGGATGTTTCGAAAGAAAAGTACTAAAGTGAATCTATGGAGTGGTGAATGACAATGGAGTATGGAAAAGACGATACAACTTCGAAGTTTACAGAATATATCAGCAACCAGATATCGTAAAACATATTGATAGGACGTCTGAGGTGGGTAGAACATGTAATGCAGACGGAATAAACTGACACAGACTTATTGATAGACCCATTGGTCAGAGAAGACATGAGAAATGTGTGAATACGTACTTGGCGGAGGAAGGCGATGGATAGGGACGACTGGAGAGAAATTCTTGAGGAAGCTAGGACCCAAACATGGTTGTAGAGCTAGAATGATGATGGTTTTTTTAAATAACTTATATTTATTATTATTAACGAAGAAGAATTACACCTACAAGAAACATTAAATCGTAATATTATTAAATATAACCCAATTAACGCGTGTTATTAATAACGTTATATATGTTCGTATTCTTAGTTTCGTTAAATTACCTGATAATCATTTAATTGCAACAAAAACATGAAGGAAACTATTTTTCTTTAATTAATGTAAAAACAATTACGCACACATATTACCACATAATTACAGCTGCGAGTATTGTTAACAACTTGTTAGTTCAAAATATAAATAACATATTTTAATGAGTTTATGAGTTACAATTGTACTATAGATAATGAGCAAATGTACTTGTTAGTAAATATGAAGGTTGCGTTTACAGGGTTATAAACAATTAAGAAAAACAGAAGATAAGGTTAGGAATAATTGTCGCTTTCCAAACTACAAGTTCAACCATATCCAGGCTACTTCAGAATGCTGTTCAGGTAATTTTAATTAAATAGTGCCAGTCCACTATAAAATTACCTTTTAATTAAATAGTGTGCCAAATACAAAGCAAATTATGTGCATTTTTCAGTGTTACTGCAAATATGCAGGTCGTCAAATTCAGAAGTTTCATCATCATCATCAGTTGGCGCTACAGCCCTTCGTGGCCTTGGCCTGCTTCAAAACATTCTTCCATCCTTCCCTATCGAGTGTCTGTCTTCTCCAGCCCCTCACTCCAATCTCCACTCAGATTTCCTGTACATCGTCCAGATTATTTGAGTTTAGGTCGCCTCCTTCTTCTTCTTCCGACCGGCCTATTTAGCATAGTTATTTTAGTGGAATCACTCTCATCCATCCACATAACGTGACCCACCCACCTTAGGCGGTTATTTTGATGGTCTTCACAATATCTGCATCACCAAAAAGTCTATAGAGTTCAAAGTTATATCGCCTTCTCCACAGGACCCTGTTCGTTTACTCCGCCATATATGGTCCTCAAAACTTTTCTTTCAAAGACTCGTAGTAACTCTTCATCTCGGGTCGTCATTGCCCATGTTTCTGATCCGTATGTGAGCACAACTCGTCCAACTTGCCACCATTGCAATGTTTTACCTGACCATTGCAATATTTACCTGACTGTAAAACACATCCTCATCGACTGTAAACAATTCACCAACCTATATAAAACACTGGACTTAAAACCTACTCTTAAGGAAATGCTCAACAACCCTACAAAGATCTCAAAACTATACAGTTTCTAAAAATCGCTCAACTCTAGCACAAGATTTAACCTAATATATGAATTAAGACATTAGTTAAATTGATATAATTATTATTTGTTCTTATTATTTATTACATATTTAATATTTTTGTTCCTGTACGAATAGCCATAGTTGTCGAGGTACTTTATGCAATTAAAAAAAAATCTTGTGCATTTGTCCAATATACAGGGTGTCCCAGACTAATTTACCCACGCTATATCTCTTAAACGAATAGAGATTTTCGAATGGGACAAAAAGTGGTCTATTCTATTTGTAATACACTTTAATATGGCGTAGAAAAAAATCATCCCCTAAATATTCATCCCTTAGTTACAACCCCTAACTTTAATTTTGTTAATAGCACCCTGTATATTTTTTTATAGTTTTGGATGTGGTCTTCTATCGTCTATTCAACAGATTTATTAAAAATTAAAATCGGTTTGTAAATAATCAAGAAATCAATTAATTTTTTATTTTTGTTAATTAAGTGTCCCAGACTAAATTTATCCAGGCTATATTTAATTAAACAAAATGGAGATTTTTTAAAGGGTCCCCTGTACGTCTTTTTACTAGTTTTATATGTGATTCTATCGTCTATTCTATCGTCTATTTAATGCGATTTTTTAAAAATAAAATGGGTTGTTAAAAAGGTATCAAGAAAATATCAGTTTTTTTTATGTTTGTTAAATTAATCAAGATAGCCTTAAAAATAGAATAGAAAAGAAATATTAGTAGTATAACTTCTTACACACCCTTTTTATTAAATATTATTTTTAATTTTTCAAAATTTGGTCTTTGTAGGAGCATACGTTATCTTCCAGTGTGGTTGGTGTTATGTTCCGTTTATTAATTTAACAAAAATAAAAATAAACTGATATTTTCTTGATACCTTATAAACCCATTTTATTAAAAAAAATCGGTTAAATAGACGATAGAAGACCACATCCAAAACTAGAAAAAATGTACAGGGTGCTATTAAAAAAATTAAGTTAGGGGTTGTAACTAAGGAATGAATATTTAGGGATGATTTTTTCTTCGCTATATTAAAGTGTATTACAAATGGAATAGACCAGTTTTGTCCCTTTAAAAAATCTCTATTTTGTTAATAAATATAGCCTGGATAAATTAGTCTGGGACACTTAATTAACAAAAATAAAAAATTAATTGATTTCTTGATTATTTACAAACCGATTTTATTTTTAATAAATCTGTTGAATAGACGATAGAAGACCACATCCAAAACTATAAAAAAATATACAGGGTGCTATTAAAAAAATTAAGTTAGGGGTTGTAACTAAGGGATGAATATTTAGGGGATGATTTTTTCTTCGCTATATTAAAGTGTATTACAAATGGAATAGACCAGTTTTTGACCCTTTAAAAAATCTCTATTTTGTTAATAAATATAGCCTGGATAAATTAGTCTGGGACACTTAATTAACAAAAATAAAAAATTAATTGATTTCTTGATTATTTACAAACCGATTTTATTTTAATAAATCTGTTGAATAGACGATAGAAGACCACATCCAAAACTATAAAAAAATATACAGGGTGCTATTAAAAAAATTAAAGTTAGGGGTTGTAACTAAGGGATGAATATTTAGGGGATCATTTTTTTCTACGCTATATTAAAGTGTATTACAAGTAGAATAGATCACTTTTTGTCCCATTTGAAAATCTCTATTCGTTTAAAAAATATAGCGTGGGTAAATTAGTCTGGGACACCCTGTAGAAATGAAGCGTTTAAATCCATTGTAAATGAGCGGCAATAGTATTATTGTGTTGTTTTTGTATCTATTCAACTCGTTAGCTTCATACTTTACGTAAGACACATTTAAAAAAAAGTGACTTACCGTTGGCGTATAAAAAGGCGCTTGATCAGCTCCAAGGGCGGGGAAATAAGCTGCCATTCCTTCTGGATAAGGGGCGCTGTACATGGAAAGAGCCGGTAAACCTGGTACTCCAGCACCAGCTAATCTTTGATAACCTAACAGTTCGTATTGACACGAGCAAACACTTTGGCCGGTTATGGGATCGGTGAACAATGGCCTACCGGTATCACAACATCTTTGGGATGGCGTTGGCGGGCTGCCCGGCGTAGGAGCTGAAGACGTTACTGCCATGGTTGTTGGTGGTGATGAAGATTGGCTAGGGCCCGAAGATACCGCACTCTAAAAAAGAAAAAGAAATTGTAGAATACTCAACAAATGCACATTATATATAACGTGAGCTAAGAGCTATGAGATGAGCATATTCTAATGATCCTACTGTATTTTACACAATTTGTTTTATTTAGTAAAATAGGGCATGTTATTAATTTGTCTTTGTTTATTATCCATTTATCAGAAAATCTATTAAATTATCTGTTTTAAATTAGTTAGTAATAGATAGTGCAATTTTTAATGATTCTCGTTCATAGGCTACAGAAATGTCTATGATAGTAAGCTGTCAGGCCATTTTGAAGCAAAAAAAATAGTACTAAATCAAGGATCCCCCTCTACAACTTTGTTTAATATAATTATGTAAAAGGTATACCTAACATAGAAGACATATCTATAAAACTAACGGTGCTATATGCCAGTTGCCAGTGAGACTTGTACTTTCACCCAAGGTGAAACGATTTCCAAACGTGTTTCATTTTTGAGGTGCGCCATCTGACCTCTCGCAAAGAGGATAGATGGTTTACTTGTTTTGAGGTGAGATGGCTCACTAATAGTTCCTTTTCTTTCTAGTATGCCAACCAAATACAAGACAGAACAACAGTTGCCATTGCAAGCCATTCAAGCTGTCAATGAAAATAGAATGGAAGTTAATGAGGCTGCTCAAAATTTTGGGGTACCGGCAACCACTCTCCGAAGAAGAAAATTCAGAGACAATATAAAGAAACCCTCTTGGACCCTCCTCCACGTTAGGCGTAACTGGTGAAAAAAAATTGGTGAAACACTATCTTAAAACTTTAAAAAAACGGATTTTTTCCTACTCAAACCGATGTGCGAAGTATGGCTTTTCAATTAGGCGAACAGCTGGCTATTAGACATCATTTTAGTAAGGAGTTGAGATTAGCTGGTATCCCATGGCTGCAGTTATTTCTGCAGAGAAACCCAAGGCTGTCAGTGAGAACAGCAGAAGGGGTATCCATTAATCGATCCTTGGGTATGAACAAAAAAGACGTTGAGACTTACTTTTATTTGCTAGAAAATACTCTAGCCGAGAACGATCTTTTGAATAAACTTGGACACATCTACAACATGGATGAGACGGATTTACAACTGAATAATAGGCCAGGAAATGTTGTTGTTAAGAAAGGATCTAAAACATTGCAAGTATCAGCTCTGGTGAAAAAAGAGAAACCATGACCGCTATAGCCTGTTTCTTACCATAACCTGTATAATCAAAGGGTAAAATAAAAAGCAAGAGTTCGAGGATGGAATTCCTCCGGGATCTTTGGTCTACTTGTCGGAAAGATCAACCTCTGTAAAAAGTGAGATATTTTTTCAGTGGCCTTAAAGATCAGTTCGTTCCCAGAAAGAGGACAAGAGTAGCTTTGTTACTGCTTGATGGTCATGCTTCACACTACAGTAACGTTCAGAAGCTAGAATACTGTGTTGAACACAACATCAGACTGCTTTGTTTGCCAAGTCATACGACACAATTCTTACAACCGCTAGATAGAGGTTGTTTAGATCGGTAAAGTTAAACTATTACTCAGCTTGCAATTTATACATTAAAAATAATCCAGGACGAAAGCTCACTAGACTGCAACTTGGAAAGTTACTTGTTGAAGGATGGAACAAGTCTGCAAGTGTAAGTAATAGAACTTCAGCATTTAAGGTTACTGGAATTGTGCCATTTAATCCTTCTTCTAACCCAGATGACGCATATTTGACTAAAAATAGTATTGTATTTGAGGTTCCTGTCGTTTCTGATGCAGATAAAAATAAACAAATCCCAGAAAGCAGTTCTCAAAGTGTCAACAAAGCTGTATCTGATGATGATCTTGCTGCAGTTGGCAGACTGAAGATGATTCTGTACCAGAAGAATAAAATGAATCAGTTGCAGAAACTAACGCAAACACTCCCGTAAAAATACCCCTGGAAAAATGCTAGATATAATCTCACCCGTTCCAGTTGTTTCCGCTGGCGTTAATTCGGTTCGAAAAAGGAGCAAACAGCTAGCGGAAATTTTAACTGCAGAGACAACAATTGGTGAAAAAAGAACAAAGCGTCAAGAAAAGGGAGAAAGAAACCATTAAATTAAAACCAGTGCTGAAAAAGAAACCAAAACCCAAAAGTGACCAAAAAGAAAACTAAGAGAGCTTTCAAAAGCGATTCATCCTCAAACAAAGATCTAGAGGCACCTAGATTGGATGACTCTTCAGATGCTAAGGATGATGATGACCAGACTTGGAGCGAATGTGGTGAAATATATTCCCAAACCACAAAATCTGACGACTGGGTCAATTGCGTGCATTGTTCTAAATGGTTTCATGATTTCTGCTCCAAGTTTGTAAACTCTTGCGATGACTGTGGTATTGTTATGTGAAAACAAAGTAACATTGTGGCTAAAACACTTTTTTTGTTGCGCCATCTCACCTCAACACTGTGGGGGAGATTGTTTTTTTTTTATTAGAGAACTATTTTTATTTTTTTTTGCGAATTATAAGGTTTATTTTTTAATGCATTTTATTACTTAATACATGTTTCTAAACTCATTAAATATTCGTTAAAAAAATTAACACTGATTCTACTTTTAAACACATTTAGAAATGTTAGAACGAAATTTAAAAACCTGTGCCATCTATCCCGAATTACCCCACGGAAAAGAACACATTTTAGAAGAATTCTTGGAGAAGCCAAATTAGGCCTCTGTAGGAGAAGAACTAACACTAAAGTTGCTGTAGGAGACATAGGAGACTGAAGTAAGATAATTAATGAGAAAAAATTACCATAGTTTTCGCATTCACAAGATAATTTCTAAATACTCTTCATAAATTAAAATAAATCACTTAATGCTTTTGTTGTTTTAAATATTTTTGCAACGTTTTAATGTACCATATAGAATTACACAAATAATTACATTTTTAACAAACTTTTTATACTTTTTTGTACTCCGAAATACACGCCCCTGGTAATAATACGATTCTCGCCAAACAAGCTAAAAAAGTGGCACTTCAGAAACATTTCTTTCCAGCTGAAACAACCAAACAAAAAGGAAGGGAGAAGGTAAAGAAAGGCAAGACGGCAACGCAAGCTCAAGAAGCAGATTTATTTTTAATAATGGCGAACGAATATGCGATCGCATGAGTGCACATCCCTGAGGGTAAATAAATAATGCTGTTATTACAGCTCAACGAGTATCACTCCAAAGTGCAACTACTGTTAACCTCAGTTAAGTCCGACCGATTCTGGTGCCTCTTGTCGGCTACAATAAGACCCAAATTCGCGAAAGACAGCAATAGAGTCGCATCAACGTAATTTGAGATAATTTTACGTCTCTTCTGCTCTTTTACAGTTGGGTAAGATGTTTGAGGGTAGATAATGATAGGTGGAAAGGGGATGGGGAACAGGGGAATCGCAATCGAGTAGGGAATGTACTTTGTACTTTGTCCTACACGCCCTTTACGCAAATTTTCGGGGCTATATACAGGAATTAATTAAAAGAGCATACGTATAATATGGAATGGGGTTTTGTATAATGAAACATTTTTATGACGTCGTTACTTCGGTGGTTGTGCGGGTTTTTGGGCCATTGTTAGAATCTTTATTCCCTCGGCGGTAATTCACTTGAAATATAAACTTTATATTGTTCGGTAAAGTATGTACTTTCAGTGTTTATTTATATTTTTGTTTCCAAAACTCAAGCGAATATAAAATCAAGCACACGGTTTGTTCTAAAATACATCTTAATAGTTTTAGTGACATTTTTGCCCATCGTTATTTAAAAAAGTGCCTCTTCTGCACAAATTTATTGCTTCTTCTTCTTCAAGTGCCGTCTCCATCAATGGAGGTTAGCGGTTATGGTGGCAAACGTTTGTCTATCTTCAGCTGTTCTTAAGAGTTCCTCAAATCCAAGTCCTGTCCAGTTTCTGATATTACGTAACCAGGACAATTTTTTTCTTCCAATTCCTCGCTTTCCTTCTATTTTGCCTTTTATTATCAACTGAGGGATGTAGTATTTCTCGTTGCGCAACAAATGCCCTAAATAACTGGTTTTTTCTTCTTTTGACTGTTCTCAATAGTTCTTTTTCTAAATTGAGTCTAGCTAGTACTTCTTCATTTGTTTTTCGTGCTGTCCAAGGAATTTTTAAAATTCTACGGTACACCCACATTTCAAATGCCTCGATTCTATTCAGGCTCTTTATTTTTAAAGTCCATGTTTCGACTCCGTAGAGAAGAACAGACCAGATAAAACATTTTACAAGTTTTAATCTCAATTTAATATTTATATGTGTATCGCAGAATAGAACGCGCATCTTAAAGAAACTATCCCTAGCTTGAGCAATTCTCGCTTTAATTTCTTGTTCTGGGTCCAGCTTGCAATTAATCCAACAGCCAAGGTATTTGTATTGGTTTACCTGTTCTAAAATATTCCCATTTATTTTTATAGGTAAGGGGATATTCTGTTTTCTTTGGATCACCATTACTTTTGTTTTTTTTTTCGTTGATCTTCATTCCAAACTCTCGACAAGCATCCTTAAGGTGGTCTATAACCCTCTGTAAGTTTGTGTCTGTATCAGCCAGTAGGACAGTGTCATCTGCATATCTTATTCTAGATATTGGTTCTCCATTAATTTTTATTCCTGTGGAAAGGTTTTCCAAGGCTTGCTTGAATAGTAGTTCCGAGTAAAGATTGAACAGCATAGGGGATAGTATGCATCCTTGCCTTACTCCTTTATTTATACTAATATTTCTAGATGTATGATCGTCGATCCTAATCTTGGCACTCTGCCTCCAGTATAAGTTCTTAATTAATCGGAGGTCTTTACTATCCAAGTTGATGCTCTGCAAGGAATTTAACATTTTATTATGGTTTTACGCGATCAAATGCCTTTTCAAAGTCTACAAAAACATAGAAAGACATCCTTTTGTTGGGTCGTAACACTTCTGCAGCAGTACTTGTAATGAAAACAAGGCCTCTCTGGTCCCCATTCCGGCTCTGAATCCAAATTGAT